GAAGTGAAAGCGGTGGGGAGTTCGCTCGCTGCGCCCTGCACCCCCTTGCTCCCGCGGGTCCGGAGCCCGAGCACCCCTCCCTCCGGCTCGGGTCACGCGGTGGCCGGCGCTGCTGCCGTCACGTCCCCAGCGGCCCGCTCGCCCGTCCCCTGCGCTCCTGCTCCTTCCTCAGCAGCCTCCCGCTCGGCGCGCCCTCTGCCCCAGCCCGCACTTCCCGTCACCCGGCTTGGGGGCGTTGGGACCCCGAGTGGCGTCCGTGTCCCTTGGCTTCCCCAGGGAGCAAGGGCAAGCCGTGTGCAGGGCTCTTCCCTGGCTAGATGAGGGAGGCTCGGGTGCACAGGCCCTGCGGATGGGGGCCACCCATTCGGCCCACCCAAGGGCTCCTGCCCGCTGCCAGGGACACAGGGCGCCCATTCGCCTACGGTGTTATGAGGGCCGGGGCTGTGCCCCAGAGCTAAATCAGGAGGCTGACGATGACTCCTGGCTTCACCTTCCAGACGCGGAGGCTAAATTTAGCCGGAGTTGGGATGTGTGTGTGTGTGTCCAGAGGCCTGATGGAGGAGGGAGCCAGGCCCCTCCATGAGATGCCCTGGCTCCCGGCTCCCTGGGGAGGGGTGGCAGGTTAAGTCTGACTGTACATCCTGAAGCCATCTGTGCCTCCTGCGCTTTGCTCCAGCTCCTTTACTCTGAGGTTCCACCTGGCAGGATGCTGTGTTGGCACCTTCAGCGGTACCCCCCACACGCACACCACGGCCACACACAGCTCCAGGACGCACACCCATAGGCCCACTTCCTCTGAGCTGCAGCTTCCCCTCCACTGTTCCAGGAAGTCACCTCCCTTCCCCTCTGAAACACCCCCCCACTCCTTCCGTCCTGTCCTCCACTGCTAGCCACCCACCAAGCTCTTTCCCAGCTTCTGCACCCTGGGGGGCCCCAGGACCCTGCGGCTCCTCTCTTTGGGGCTGGGCCATGGAGGCAGGTGAGAACTCAAAGTTACTGAAGGCCTGTTGTGGGCCTGTTTCCGTCCCTGGGCTCCGTGGAGGAGGGCATGGGCGTAGCGGGGACTGTCACCCACAGCCGTTTTTGTCCTCGCTGGGGACACCCAAGGATCTTGGAGGTGGGGAGCACTGATTTTGTCGTCGGGTCAGTGGAATGAGGTGAGGGAAAAGGACACGAGTCTGGTGAGAAGCCGCTGAAGCTCGGGTTTCGTGGCTTTCCTGGACACTTGTGGCGTTCTCACAGGCCTGGAGTTGGGCTCCTTGAACCTTTCGCCAGCTCATGCAGTTCTTAGGGTGTCATCCCTAGAGCAGGGACGTCAGCACCCCTGAAACAGATTGTGAGGGTGGTGTTATGTCATGGCCAGGATGTGTGATGACATTGCAGGGCTCTACGGAAAAGATTGATCTGTTATAACTGGAGGGGGGGCAGAGGGGGGTACAGGAACAGTGGAATGTCAGAGCCAGGGTTGGCTGTGTGCAGGGGAATGGAGTTGGGGTTCTCTGGGGAGAGGGCTGGGACCACCGAGAGAGGGCCCTGGTCTCTTTAAGGAGCTGTGGTGGGCTGTGAGGGCCTGGTGATGTCACAGGCGGGAGAGTTCAGGATTGGCCGACTGCGGATCCTGCCTTTCCTTGAAAGGACTAGGAAGGGGAGGGGAGCGAGAGGGGCACCCTGGTTGCCATGGCAACACCAGCCTGCCTTGCTTCATCTCTCCCCTACTTGCCCATTCCAGATGCAGTGAATGAGGGGGGGGCCATGGCGGAGGAGCGGCCCCCCCGGCTGGTGGATTACTTCGTGATAGCTGGGCTCGCAGCGGACGGAGCGCCCGTCCCTGAGGAAACGTGGGTTCCCGAACCCAGTGGGCCCCTGCGCCCTCCCCGGCCAGCGGAGCCCATCATTGATGTGGCAGTCATCGCCAGGGCGCTGGGCGAGGAGGTGCCACAGGGGTACACGTGCATCCAGGCGTCCACGGGGGGCCACCCCTTGGAACTCAGTGCCGGGCTCCTGGGTGGAACTCAGCCCGTCATCTGCTACCGCAGGGGCCGTGACAAGCCCCCCCTCGTGGAGCTAGGGTGTGTGCCCCTACCCGTGCTGACACCAGGGGGAGGCGGGGGCATGGGCTGAGGGACGGACCGTAGGGATGGGAAGACAGCGGGCTGACGACGGGGCTGGGAGAAGGGACCGAAGCTGTTTGTCCTTAGTCCCCACACTGATTTGGGTTCGTGTACTCACGTTGCTACTTGGTAGCTGTGTGACGTCGGGCAGGTTTTGAGCCCCCTCTGGGCCTCTTTCCTCATCTGTAAAGTGGGGAAAGTCATACCTCCTCATGGGGTGCTTGAGAAGACGAAATGAGCTCATCCACGGAAGGGCCTTCACACAGAGTCAGTAAATGGTAGCTTTTTTCTTGGCATTTATGAACGAGTATGAGAGCCACGGACGGCTTAAAGGATTGTTGTTGAGCCGGGCACAAAAGGACGCAGGATTCGGAGGGCAGACTTCACGGAGACGTGGTTCCCGGGGTCGGGGTTTGACGAGGCTGAGGGTGCAAGGCAGGTGGCAGGACAGGGGACTTTCCGCTACGCCCCACACTCCATGTCTCTCTCTCTCTGCTCTCTGTGCCAAGGGTGCTGTACGAGGGGAAGGAGCGTCCCAAGCCTGGCTTCCAGGTGCTAGACACGACGCCCTACAGCCACTCGGCCAACCTGGCCCCTCCGGGCCCTGGGCATCCCCGCACCTACCTCACTTACCGGCGGGCCGCAGAGGGGGCAGGGCTGCATGCCCTGGGCATCACCGACCTCTGCCTGGTGCTGCCCAGCAAGGGCGAGGGCACGCCTCACACTTACTGCCGCCTGCCCCGCAACCTCAACCCGGGCATGGTGAGTGCGGCCGGGGCCCAGGGCTGAGGCCTGCAGCATCTCAGGGGGAGGGCGTGGCCCCTGGCCGCAAAGGGCATCCTAGGCCCACCGCCTCTAACGGCAGGGGTGGCCCAGAGGGGTGACTCTGGTCTTGAGGGACTGGGATTAGAGGGAGTTCTAAAGACAAAAGACCGCTTAGGGGTGGTGGAGGAAATGGAACCCAGAAACCTGAGCTGTGTGTCTGCTTGTGTCTCGTGTTCCCGGGGCAGTGGGGCCCGGCAGTGTACCTGTGCTACAAGGTGGGCCTGGCCAAGGCCAACACGCTGGTGTATGAGGCCGGTGAGTAGCCCTTGGCCCCTACGTCCCTCCGCGTCCCTCCGCCCTGGCGCCTTCCGTGTCCCTAGAGCTCACCTCCCTTTCGCCACTTGGCGCTTCTCTGGGATCCCCTGGTTCCTCACCCCGGAGTCTGATGGACCCTCCTCCTTTTGGGTGCCCCCCACTCTGCGGGGGGTGCAGAGATGCTGGGCCGCTACC